ACAGAGTGGCTGTGTGTATTCTGCTGTTATGAGGATGCTCTACATTGGTAGGGAGAGAGCTCAAAGTACACACCAGCTTTTCCTCTGCCTAAATTTCACTCTCTGTGGAGTCACCTGGTTCTCTCCAAACTAGAGCTAGAGAGAGCTAGAATGGACTCTGTGTGTGACTGAGTGGGCTTGACTGAAAGCTAAAGAACTACACTGATATGACAGCGTATGTGTATCTTTGGGAGACAAGTCCTAGATTACGGTGAATTCCCACAGTAGCTGAGGACCTTGATAAACTTGTACAAATGTTTGATGCAAAAAAGTCTTGTTCTTTTCCTGTCGTCTCTTACTTGAACACATACACTTAAAACCCAAGACTGAGTAGGGAGGCCACAGCAAGTGAACAAAACAAAATGCCCTCTTTTAAGGGATTTTGAAGAAAGAAACCAGAAGCCACATTAAGCACCTTTCTCCTGGCGAGGTATTTATCATCTTTGGTTTTATCAGAAGGTGATACAGTCTCACTCCAGCAAGCCGTTAAGGACCTGGAGTTAAGCCCAAGTTATCACCAAGAACTCAAGAGTGATTATTCATATCCTTCAACATGGTATTGGAAGATGCTCAAATATGGTAATGAAGGTGGTATAAGATTAGTGTCTTATCAAACTCCTTTTTATTTTTTAAAGCTGATTTCTCAAGTATGTGCTGGTGGGAAGGTAGTAGCAAGTTTATGCTCCTCTTTTACTTCGGTGTATATTCATCTGCTCAAGGTGTAAGTTCATCTCTTATGAGTTATTCTCATTTATGTCTTTCCTTGCAATACTTTTTTATCTGGTTTTATTGGTTTACTTTTTCTTTTTTGAATGCCTTTAAATTTGAGCCCACAACAGCATCTTTGCTTGGTTTTCTTTTTTTTTATTGTTGTTTTTCTCTCCATTTATAAGCAAGAGCTGCATATAAGAAAGGATAATATTTTCTGATTTTTGTATGTTTTGTGTACCTGTAGATGTGGAGTATTCATTCAAGATCTACTAAAACTGCTTGTGCGAAGTTGAAATTTAAGAGGTTTGCATTAACAGTGAAGGCACTAATTCAGCACTGATGTAAAGCAAATTAAGTTCATTTCCTAATTTAAGAGTGGCCTGATGTTATGCATTCCACACACTTTCTGCTTATGAAGCTCCCTGATTAACACAGTGTATTGCTTCAAATTAGTCTTCTGCTTCCTGGGGACAATTTCAAGGAATGCTGTTTGTTCATAATTCAAGGAGCAGTCTTGCTTGATAAGTGGAAGAGGTTTGTTTATGTAAAATAGTGTGTAAAGGGTTTTACACAGGCTGCCTGGAAAGCAAACCTTTTTAAATTGAACCATCAGGTAGTGTGGACTCTGGTGAGATCCATGTGCCACCTTTCAATGAGCTTTGTGCTTGCCTGGTCTGCCAACACCAAATTTTACACTTCAGTATCTTTTCAGCGTGATGTTCTAACTAAAAAGTCAAAACTCTGTTTTTAGTAACGGCCTTGACACATAATTTGGAAGTTGTAATTTTGTGCTTAGTGTTTTGCCTTCTTTATGAAGGAAAACATATTTTTTGAACAACTAGTGATATTTTGTTTTACAGCATTATAAGTTCATGTTATGATCTTCTTCAGAGTTAGGATGGCAGGCAGGGGAAAATCACAGCTAAAGAAGAAGTGGTGTATTCAGGAGTCTGGTATCTGGCCTCTTGAAAATTCAGCTTTAGTTTTAGGATATCTTGATACCTATAAGTTTCTTAATTAAAAAAAAAAAAAACAAAAAACAAAAAAATCCAAACCTAAAAAGTGCACAGTTTTATCCAGAGGTCTCATGCTGTAAATATTCGGACTTTGTAGCTGAGGATAACTTTATTTTCACAGAGATTTTTGAATGTTTATTATGCCTGTCCTTTTGTGCCTAATGACGTAGATAGAGTTTAACAAAGTGTTAAAAACAAGATTAAGGTTAAGTCCTCATTAATGCAGGAAAAATAGAGAACCCTTTGAGGAGTGAGAAAGCCAAAAGTCCTTTACTGAGACTTGTTTTTCTATTTGACCAGTGTGTAATATCCAACATACTGTAACTATTCAGACTTCTTCAGTATTCTATAATTTCAAAAATTCATCGAAACTATTTAGGCATTGGTAGTATAAATGCGATGATGCTTTTCCAAATAAGATTTCTATGCATCTACCATTTTGTATGTACGCTTCTTTTGTAAGTTAGTTGTTGTTATTTGTTTAAAGTTAGTCTAGTATTTATTTGAAGGTACAGATATCTTCAAAACTTGGGATAAATATTTTCTAAATGTTTTGTGAGTTTTAGTAATTATCTATAAATCAGTCATAATCTTAAAAAAAAAAGTTTTAAATAGGTAAGTAAAAAAATTCAACATTATTTTCAAACATATATATCTTAAGAGTGTTTTCAGTTTCCTTAGCAGTCGTGTACTTCTTTTGTTAGAGCAGAAATAAATCTTCTTCAGCGTCAGTAGAAGAATAGGTATTTAAAATTTATAACAAGATGCTGGTCCTTCAGAATCCCAAGCAGTGTTCTGTTTTTTATTAAATATGCAGCCTTTCAGGTGGGTATGATATTTTGCATGTATATTGTACTTTCATCAGAGTATCTCCTAAAATCTCCTGCTCGTTTCTGTCAGTCAGTGTAGACTCGTGTAAGAGTACTACCAACCTGAATAACCACCTAATTGCTTTTTATCACTATGCAGAGAAGAGGGTATTATAAGATCTATTACAAGATACAAAGAATAGGTTATTCTTCAATAAATGGAAACCTGTATTCTTATAGAGTAGCATATCAGGACTAATTGTTGGTTGTAGGAAACGTGTCTGTGTTGTCATGTGGAAGCACTTCAGGTTTTGAGTTCTGCTTTTTCATGCACAGCAAGTAGTTCCACGGGTGAGAAATGAAACTGCAGAACAAGTTCAGTTCCTTGATGCCAGTGAAGGCAGTAACAAAAGTTTTCTTCTGAATTGGAGCAGAATTTACTAATTTGATAAATGACTGCATCTTATTTTCCTTAAATTGTTGCTGGAAGAGTGCAGTGAAAGCCGTTTGAAAGAGCCTAACAGTGAACAGAGATCTGCTGCTTGGGAGAGGTGATCTGTTGAGGAAAAATAATTGTATGCTTTTTGCACATGAATTCATTGTAATATGGTGGTATTGGTGACAGTTACAGACACTGTAACGTGAATTTTATTTTCCTTCACTAAAAGTAGGAAGCAAAGAACTTACACTTTGTGGTGGCCACTTTGAAGAAAAGATGTCTAATATTGTGCGTTTTGTGGTTTTTCTCATTATTTTCTTGCTCAGTATGCCCTTTATACTGCAGAGTGCATGAGACAGTTCATTTTGTGGGCTGAATATCTGTGTACAGGTATTCAGATGTTTAATATTTTTTCATAAATTACTTTTTTTTTCTGTAAAACTTCAAGTTATACAACAGCTGTCTACTGGTTTTGATTATTTTGCCAAGCTCTAATTGCTTGTACGTATCATAATTGTGAAAATTAATGAACGAAACTATATGAAGGATTTAGTTGATGTCATTGTGGACTCATAAAAATACATGAGCTTCAAAATATATTAATCATTATTTTATTATTAAAAGAATAGTATTTTCTACTAATGCTAGACCTTGCAAGATGCACAAGTCACTGAAGGAACTCTGTGTGCTTGTATGAGTGCAGAATGTTGTAGAAAATCACAAGAGAGCTGTTCTGAGTTTTAAAGATTCCCTCCTACTCTCCCCCTTTCCCTTTCCCCTCACATCCTTACCAGCATGTATTCTACATTGAATTTATATATATATGTATTAAGGATTCTTTGGGTATTATTTGATTAGGTGTTAAAAAGCATTAATTTAGTCGAACTGCAGATTTATTATGTGTCTTCTCAGCTGGTCTATAAACTGTTGAAATGTTATGGATTGGAGAAATACTGAATTTTGTTCACCCCATAAGTAACTATTCATAACTAATTTCTCTTCCCCTAACAGGGGACAGAGCAGGGGGACACACAGGTCCCCCACAGCCAGTGTTTCTTAAAACACATTTTGTTTATCAGTCTGTTACTATTAATGTAATTGAGCTGCTGTTACCGATAGCAGGTAACTATTGACACAGCACGTTGACTTACTCTCTCCTGTGGATCCCTGACATATTCACCCTTCTTCCCTGGCTGGAGCATCAGTCGGGTGGTCTCTTGTTTGATCAGACGTGTGTATGTAATCCTGTGGGCTTTGTAAATAGTAGCCACCACCCTCTTGGATGAGGTCTTGGTCATATGAGCTCTTGTTGATGTCGGTCTGTGTTGATGGCCTTGGTCAGATTGGGCCAGAGTGCAGAATCCCAAGTTTGTCAGTTCTTGTAGGTCCAACAGGATTACTGTTACTCATCTCCAGAGTTTATCAGTCCAGAGGAAACTATTACGTATTATCTTCTGAGCAGATACTTCTCCCCTGCTTAGCCTACTCTTTCTGTGGTGGCTGTTCCTCTGTCCATCCTATAGGTGCCTGTAGGACCTCTTCACACAGCCTCACCGAAGGGGCCCAGCATGACATGAAGGTTGTTTATATGATAGCTAGTAATTGTTATTGGTAGCATACCCCTGCCTTCCTCACTAGTACTTAGCATTTTATTTATTTACATTATTATTTTAATAGTTATTTAACTATCATTTGAATTCATTCCAACGTGTGAATATATTAGCAACAGTTACATACAGGAAATAACAGTTTTGTTTCTGGTAATGTGACAGAAGGCAAAGGCCAACTAAAATATGTATTTATCACATCCGGTCTTGAGCTTGGCATAAATGTATGTGTTTAAACCTACAACTTTTATATAAGCATCATTTTGAGAGCAGATTACTGTTTTATCATTGCTGGAATGGGTTTATAAGAATAGTTTTCTTTTTCATTTCTACTTAATAGCAAAATAGATTAAGTCTTGACTTTAATGTGTTTCCACAGGTATATCTTGAAAGACTTTTAACTTATGCAGAGATAGATATTTGTCCAGCAAACTGGAAGCGAATTGTGCTGGGTGCAATTCTGCTGGCATCCAAAGTTTGGGATGACCAGGCAGTGTGGAACGTGGATTACTGCCAGATCCTGAAAGATATCACGGTCGAAGACATGTGAGTTCAGTATGTTTATCTTTGTCACTGAATGCCAAGATCTGTGTGTGTGAGGGGGACGGGAAGTTCTCTCATAAATTATATGAAGTTTGTATATCTGCATTGTATCTGAATGTGGTGGATGCTGATAGATGGCATGAAGTGTGTGTGACAGTTGCTTACATAGAAGGCATGAATTACTTTTATTTTCTGGTTGAAGTGTGTATTACCACTGGATGTTCATGCACGGTGATGAAAACAGATCTGCAGAGTATTTAAATGTATGCCTTAATAAAAAAACCCACATCAGTGAGCCTGCATGTATTCACTTCAGCAATATTTACTGTCATGCTACAGACAGTAGGCCAACATGTAAGGCAGGAAAAAAAATTGTTGTGATCCTAATGACCCTTAGGTGATCACCCACTTATTTATTGCCATTATTCAAAATTAGTGCTTTTGGGCTTGGGTTTTGCCCCCACCCTGTATCCTGCTGACTTCGTTTCCAAGATGTTAAAAATCTAGTATTTTAACCTGCACAGAGAAATTTGTGTTTTCCCATTTTTTTTTTAATCAGATGGCGTTCATAAGAAGCATGTATTGTAACAGCATCAAGGGTTGTGGTGTCTGGCTGGATACTCTCGAGTCATACTAAGAGTGTATTCCAACAGTAATAAAAAGAACTGTAGTAAGAATAAACACACTTAAGATCTTAGTGTTTACAAATACTAAAATGAACGCTCACTACACTAAATAGTCTAGTGCTATTTTTGTTTGGTCGGTTAGCAGGTATTACATATATTGGCTGATCTGCCTGGGGTTTGTGTCCTCTGTATGTTCAGGGACACACACCCTCCCTGAGGTGCCCTTTCCTGGGCTGGTGGAGGTGCGAGAGTGGTGCTGGAAGGGCTGCACTTGGAATTGGTGCTGGGATGGTGCTGGGGGGGTGGGTGCTGTGTGTATATACACATACAAACACACACACACACACCCCCCAGTATACTGGTGCACCCCTTTTTTAATAAGAATAAAAATAAAAGGATAAAAATATGTACAGTATCTGTGTTTTTCAAACATCTTTTAAGCAGAGCTAAGTATCTGTAATGAGAAGTATAGAGACTTGTGCCTGCTTTAACTCAATTAAGTCAGAATAACAGCCACTGAAGAGAGTTTGTCGTGGATAAGCACTGTGGGAGGAGGGAAGAGGGACGGAGGGAAGTAGATGAGAAGAAATGTTTATACAGACGGAATGTTTTTTGAATCTCAGTTTGCAATCTCAAAGCAATGAAAGGCCAAGCGTTTTTGTTAGAGCAGCCCCAATCTAGGTTAATAGTTGGCTATTTGTCAGATTTATAACTGGTCTAAAAAAGATCTGTAAGGGAAAGGTTGAATGTTAGGAGTCAGCTGATTACTCTAAATTAAGCATGTTCATACACTGCTTGATAAGACTTATAAATTGTGAGTAGCTGTCATTGCTCAAGTATTAGAAAAGTCATCTCTAAATCTTGTGTTAACAAGCAATTTGTAGCAAGGTGGCTTTTTTTCCCTAAGTCAAACTGAAAGACTCAAAGCTTTGTTGCTGTGGTATGGTGGAGGTACTTTCATTAGTTTTGGGGAAAACTCTCATTTCAAAATAGAGGTGAGAAGTACCACATAATGCCATTTCAGTTTCTGTTTGAAAATATGTAAGCTACTTTAAGGATGGTAGATGATACTTCTTTTCCAACATAACCCAGACAGAATGGGATTTCCAAAATAAACAGTGGGATAGGGGGACAAGAAGCTAAAATCAGGCCCTTCACAGTTCTGTGTGCAATATTATTCCATGCAGAACAGTTTGATAGTGCTTCCTTGACTGTTGCGAGTGTTTCCTGAATGATTTTGCTAAGCTACTTCTCCCTTGATCCTTTTCTCATGCTTTTGGGTGTTCAGTGGCAGTAAGTGCCTCTCTCCATTCGCTCCTCCAAGGCAAATCTGGGAGCTTTTAAGGTGTTTCTGAAGCTGGGACACGAGCTGCAGTAGGGCGCTGAGCAGCTCGAAGCAGACTGACAGGTTTGACTGTGCCGTGTGACAGTATTAATCAGGAATGGTTATAAATATGAATTTTGAAATTGCTGATTCTCAGGGCTTTTTTTTGAAGGCAGGTGATGAGGCATACTGTGATGGTGTGAAAGGAAACAAAAAAAGAGGTTATTGTTTTTGACAAATACATGTGATGTTGCTACTGTTAGAAGTTGCACTTGAGCTATATAACACCCTTACTCACGTGGCAGACCCGTGCTCACACCAGCCTGCTTCCTGCACTGCACGTTCCCTCAGCCAAACTGATGAGTCCTCAATCCATAAAGATTTTAGGGTTCTCAGAACCTGCAAAACCAGAAGCCTTTGGGGACCCCGTGCTCTCTCTATGGTACTTGGTTTATCTGCCTCATGGGCTTTGTGTTTGGGGCTCCTTATGAGTCCTCCAGCAAAGACTTTGGTGCTTGTTGACCTGATGTTTGTGTTCCTGCTGCCAGTTTTTCCAATTTTTTTCCCTCCTATCCTTAGTGCGATGGATTGGATTTTTTTTTCTTTCTTATTTTTCAGGTAGATGGGACGGTACAATACTATGATTTTGAAGTGTCTAGCTCTATGCAAGACATGGGCTTTCATTGTTTATATCAATAAGGCAGACAAACTCTAGGTCAAAATCTCTGACTGCTGTGAATCATTGGGCACAAGTGTACCTTGCAAAGCAGACCTTTCAGTGTTTTGTAAGTCACCAGCAGTACACCAAACTCTGCCTAAAAGCTGCCAGAGGACTTGGGAGGACTGAAGGGCAGAATGTACCTGTAGGCATGGATGTAGCATTACCTTGAGTTCCTGTCTGAATTTGAGGAGTGGCCACAGGAAAGCATGTGCTAAAGCCATCTACTGTAGATCTATGGGGGAAGAAGGGTATGGTGGTAAATTAAATTACATTCGTTCAAATAAGAAATACCTGTATTTCTTTTGTTCTTTCTCAGCTGTAGTTAGTCTGCTGATCTAACCTTCAAATCTGGGAGCTAGGGTATGGTAAGAATCTGAGGCTATGTATTACTCCTACAGATTTGGGGATGCCACAAGAGGTGCAGCCAATGTCTGTCCTCATTAAAATAGGCTTTATATTATCCATTAACATACACCTTTAGGCTTAGCTTGCAGAAAGTGAAAACTTGACAAGATGAAAAGACATTTAAAGCTAATCCTCTGTATTTATCAGTAGACATCTTAAATGTAATTTTTTTTATTTGGATTTTTTAAAAGCTAGAATGGGGTTTTACCACCCATTTATTTTTTATTTCTCATGTCTTGAAATTGCTCTTCTGAAATACATCATATGTCACTATATAAGTATTATGAAGGTTGTCTAGTTACCATGCAATTTATGAAAATTTCCAGTCCTTAATTTTGTTGATTTGCTTATTTTTTAACATCCTTTTTAATGTGCTGGTGTAGATAATAATGTATTGCTATACCAAAGTTTTCATGGGGTGGGAGATCAAAGAGGACCTCTGTTTCTATTCGGTATTTTGACAAACACATTTGTTGAAAAACAAATAATTACCACTGTGAATTTTGACTGCATGTCCTAGGGAAAAATTGCTTCATTGTGTTGGATAACGAAAGATAAGACAGTATGCTGAAAAATTCAGATTTTCCATGACTAGTTTTAAATGATTGACTATGAAAGGCTGAAGAGAGTAAATAAGTTCTCCAGTAATTTAGGTGTTAGAGTAATCTGCAGCATTTATGAGAGACGTCTGACAAATTTAGGGCATAGCTGCATGTTGTGTTTGCATAGCTGTGTGTGCAGATCCACCTAGTGGAGGTACAGCAGAAACTACAGATTGTGTTAACTGAACTGATGAAGGTGCCCTTCCACTAGCAGAAGTTTGTGTCTGGGTTTGATTGGCATCGCGGTAGCAGCCGCAAGGCGCAGCATCTTTCCTATTCCTCACTGGCGTACACACGCCAACAGGACTTGGTAGACTAGGTCAGACCTTAGGCTGGGATAATTGCGTCTGGCAAGAATAAGAAATGACCTTGGTATATACCATTTGCAATTTAAAGTAAATTACATTCAGAATGCACAGTCTGAAAATGTTTTCACTTTTATCTTCTTTCTGCAGGAATGAGCTGGAACGCCAGTTTCTTGAGCTGTTGCAGTTCAATATTAATGTTCCCTCCAGTGTTTATGCCAAGTATTATTTTGATTTGCGTTCCCTGGCAGAAGCGAATAACCTGAGTTTTCCTTTGGAGCCCCTCAGCAGGGACAGGGCATATAAACTTGAGGTAAGACACTTTCTTTTTAGATTGCTTAGTGTTGAATATATAGGGGGATTTGGAATTTTTGCATGGTTTCTCCCTTCTCTTCCCAAATATTCACATCAGATGTTAGAATATCATGTGCTCCAATTTCTGTTTTGTTTGTGCTTTGGGAATTCATGGATGTGGGGACAGCTTTTTGGCCCAATTTGCATCATACTTTGTCTCATTTTCCATTTCTTTTTCAGTTCCAGTTGTCTAAATTGGCCCTGTGAAAGTACCCACAAGTCTTACAATGACTGTGTTCACAGTCTGGTTTTGTGTGTTTGTTTGGTTTCTTAAACCTGATTATCTACCTAAAGGACAGAATATTAACAATTATTGCTGAAAATAACTATTCCATGTGCTTGTTAACTGCTACTGCTCCACTTCACGTGGATCCAAGTCTGTTATCTCCTGTGGCATTTTTCTCAGTAACAGGAAAAGAAAAAAGAGCATATCTTTAGGGAATAAATCACGAATGCTTATGTGACCTGAGTATACCATGTGCAGAAGGCACTAAGTTGGATGGTCTGGACCTGCAAAATGCAGGGCACTATGAATTCCCACAGCCACAGGGGGGATTTAAAATCGTCTGCAAATTGTGGGCAATTTGCAAGACTGGAATCTTTTTTTACCTGAGCTTTCTGATATGAATTTTTTTTTCAAATAAGGGCTTTCTTGCCTGAGCGTGTATGCATTTTGTTACTAATCTTGAGATCTGTCATTAGATGTAAACTGCTTTTAACACTGCACGTCTGCCATTATATAACAGCTCTGCACTGGAGGTTGTTTGCCCGTGGGTTAGGGTGAGCTTTGCCTGTTCTGAAACTCCTAGTGCTCTTGTAAAACAGGCAGGCAGTGCTGTACAGGGTTTTGTGGGGGGAAGTGGTGCGTGGGAAGGTTAATTGACTTGTTTGTGACTGTAATGGGAACAGAAGGTGGTGGAGAAAGAATCAAAGCAGATTTCACTAAAGTTGTATTTCTCATTCTTTCTGAATTTCACGGATAACTCCAATAAGAATGTAACTTAGTTCTGTGTATGGAGTGTGATGTAAATTTGCATCAAATTTTGTTTTTATTGAAGAGAATTTTTAAAAATTAAAATTCATTGGGATTGTAATTTCAGATGAAAAGAGGTAGCTTACTAAGCTATTAGGTTGTGGGACTTCATAAAAAGGGCCATTACATATATTAAAATTGAGTAAATTGCTTTTTGAAGATAATTTAGTACCCAGTGTTTCCCAACACTTTTGGTCTATATTGCACATGATGTACAACAGCGGATTACGAAAGAAGGTAACAATAGTAGCTCCTAAAGCCTTAAAAGAAAAGAAAATAGGATAAGACTGTAAATACCCAGGGAATACTGATAGTTCTTCTGTACTAACTAAAGAGAATGCATATTTAAAAGAAACAATGGAATATTTTTAAAAAATAAATCCATATTATGAAAAAATTTCCCATGTTGGGGATGCTTTGTGCTGCTAGCAGAAGTTAGCTGTAAACCTGCTAGCCAAAGAGGATGTCTTCAGGGAGGAGGATGAGTATCTGCTGTGAAACCAACTTGATCTACCAGCTCCTTGCCCCTGTTCTGTGGCCAGAAGGAAGGGAACGTGATGTGAACTGCCTTGTTCCCTGGCAATACTCAGTTGTCATTAGCGTGTCCTTGAAACTGGTTGACAGCATAAATTATAGCCTGGTTCCTTGAGCACAGTTAAGCATTTACCTTGCCAAGAGTTATCAAAATGCACTTGCAGCACTTTTCTAGGTCTCTCATGTGCTGTTCAGCCCAGAGCTTTCTGTTTTTAAAACAGTTGCCTGGATCGTCAAGTGGAGTAGATGTAGTGCCACACGGGCTGTGATATTTTTGATACTGAGAGAAAAGCTGCAGTCTGTGATGTAAGACAACAGAGTCATAGTGAACGTGCGTGTGCAGTGGAAGGCTTTGCCTTGTCTGGTAAACTGAAAGGACCTTGCTCAGTCCTAAGATTTAAAACAACTTATTTACTGACGTTTGCGATCACAAAATGTCTTGCATAGAGTAATAGTTATGACACATTTTTACTACTTTTGCATTTTCGAGGTATTTTATGTATCTAAAGCAGGAGTATTAGATCTGACATGGCAGAATCTGCATTGCTGTTTCTGCAAATATGAGGTTGAGATACTTATGATAAAAAAACCCACCAACCACGCAACCCAAGATGACCAAGGACAAAGCTAATAAATACTGTTCTTCATCAAATGGAAATGCTGGACAGGATCCATCAGCTTAGAGGCATTATAAGATGTTATAGTACTTGTTAAAAATGACATTGCTTTCTGGAGCATCTGCAGTGGGTGTTTTTCCTTATTTAATATTCTCACAATTGACACTTAAGAAGCAGCTTTGTCTTTTAAATGACAAAATGAAAGTTTTTTTTTTTTTTTCTTATTTCTCATCATCCTGTGGCTTGTAAGTGTACTTAATCTGTTATACCAGTCCACCTAGGAGCCAGAAACCATTTTCATGACCCCTCCGTTTCGGTTTTTTTCCCCATTGTATGGAATCATGCAACTTAAAACAGCAGATAACCTTTCATTAGATCATCCAGTCTGTCCACCTGCCAATGCTGTTTGTTCCAACCAGCATATGTTGTAGTGTGTTTTCTACTTCCTTTTAATTATGTCAAATGTCAGGGCTTCCTTTGCTTCTCCTGAGAACTGTTTTCTAATATGGGAGATTTTTCTGCCAGGAGGGTTGTTGGATATCCAACCTTAATCCAGTATTTTGTAATTTCCTACTCTTGCACCTGGTTATTCTCCCGTGTACTGAGCTAAATATGAGTCAGACTGTGCTCTTTGGGCTAGGTCCACAAAACGTGCCTACCCTATTTCTGCTTGTGATCTTAGCACTCTGCTCGTTTCAAGGCTAGATTTTGTAAGAGCATTTGTTAGCGCACTCCCAATTTAACCGACTGTATCTTGTCTGAGCTTCTTATTCTTAGGATAGTGCTTCAGCACATAGTTCAAACCCTTTGAACTAAGTGCTGTAATTTTTGACCCTAAAGAGGTACAGTCCTGTAGATCAAACACATAAAAAAGAGGAGGAAAATAATGTAAGTTGCTAGTAGAGAAGTGTTATTCTATCCCTCCAGCTTCCCACTGTCGCAGTGATTGGTTGCAATCCTGCGTGTTTTATATGTTCAGAACCCTCTTAGCCAAGAAGCAAAGGGAGAGCACAACTCCCCTGCTCTTTTGTCAGAGGTCACCCAATTCCTGCTCTTTCTTTTCATTCTCCATAGAAGTAGAACCCCCATGAACACAACTTCTAGTTGTTCTAGTGATGTGTTTTCTTTTTTTGTTGTTGTTTTCTTTTTTTTTTTTAACATTTTCCTTATATATAACCCTTCCTGACTTCGTGCTGTTTGTCCCTGGTTTGTCCCTTTCTGGGGGTGCTGCAGCACTCCCACTTGGGTGCCGTTGTGCAGAAGCCGTAGCCAGCCCCGCTGCTCTCCTGCCCTGCACAGACATGGGCATCCAGCCAACATTTATACGATGACTACTGCCTTTCCCAACTCCTTTCTCCTCACCCACCCACCTCACCAGGGTCACAGTCTCACCTCGAGTCATATCACTCAGCAGAGGAACCCACTTCCAGTTCTGTATGTGTATATATAGAGAATGGAAGAATATATATGTATGCATTTTTCTAGCTGCTTACAGATGTTACAATGAATTCCAGCAACATTTCACATGGTTGAATAGTGTTGCTGGTTTTGAGTTCATATGCAGCTGTCAAAAATGGGTCTCTTTTCCTAGCAATAAAAGCAACAGAAATACCAGATGACAGAAAGGTGTTTGCAAGCTATTTGGGTTTATTTTAACTGAAGGACAATGATAACTATTTACAATTTTCTGCTTTTGTCTTGCTTTCCCATATGTTACGCTAAAGTTGACTAACTTGCCAAATAGGCTTCAAATATCAATTTTGTAAATTATTTGCAAATGAAGAGGCACCTTTAAATACAGGATTGCTTTAAACAGTAGTTAATGTGTTTCCTATCCATATGATTAATTAACAGAGATTAGAGATGCCAAATATTAAAAGTGCCACTTCCAAGCAGAATTTCATTTCATCTGACCAAGTGCCAAAACAGAAATTTTCCTGTGAAACAGGCAATTTTTTAGTGATTACCTTCTCTGGCTGTTTGATGCCTAAGTTAATAGCCTGATCTGGCAGCAGAAAAAAGGCGAGCTCCACCTCAATACACCTATTTGCCAAGCCGTGCCTTGGCACACTATTTTGTGATTAAACACTTTTCATCTATTGGATTTTAAATCTGGTTGAATTGCATAAACTTCCTTAGTCCATTGAATTCCTGGTTAAATTAAATAAAATGTTATTAAGCAGTTTTAAGTAAGTTAGTCTACAAAGCAATGGGAATATTTGCATTGTTTTCTTCCATTGTTCTCTTCACGTTCACCAAGAAAGAAAACTGTTCAGGAATGGTCTTAACAAAAGGAAATTCAGTTTCCAACTAAAAATTAGCAACTGTTTTTTTGTTTGTGGAGGTGGATTTTGTGTTGATTTGGTTTTGATTTTTTTTTCAGTTTAACCATGTTTTGTGGCTGGCTTGACCAATGCCTTAGGGGAATTTGCTCTGGGATGCATGAGTTCATAAAAGCTTTTCAGTGCTGCAACTTGCTGTGCTATAGAAGTACAGATCAAGAGAGAAAATGATGATCAGTGGAGTCAGACTGTTTATTTGTATTGCCTTGTTTTATAATCAAACACTTGTACTGGGTTTGTTTGTACAATACTTTTAATTAAACTTCCTATCTTGAGACACCACTTAAAAGCATTCCTGGGTAAATAAAAATACTGGTTCAGTCCATCTTATTTTTTAATTTGACCTTGAGTACTCCTTGCAGTCAGCTTTCTCTGCAGTTCTGGTGTCTGATTGCCAGAGTGAACATCCCTACTGATGCCAGCCAGAGCCTGTCCCACCCGTATGGACTCTAATAGACATGCTATTTTAGGCACAGTGTATTTGTACATATGAGGTCCATAATAAATATTTGTTTTAAACTTGACTAAAAACAGTAGAAGAAACATAAAATGTATACTGCAGTGCAGTATAATAGCAGTCCACATTTGAATAATGTTTGTATCTCCAAAAGGTTTTTAACATTTCTATGTATTTTTAATGCAAATCAAATTATCTTGAATATGAGTTACGTTTCCCACTGGCACCATATAAGATTGCCTGATCACTCAGAAATCACTGTCTCCTTCCGAAAGGCAAGTAAACACCAGCTCTGTAAGCGAAGCAGGGCGAGCAATCTGCCAGACCATTCATCGGTGGAGAAAAATATAAGTACTACAAGACTTTTTAGGAAGTAAAAAACCTAAGAGCCATCCTCTTTACAAATTCTCCTACAAATTCTACAAGCATACCTACAATTTCTCTAATTGTTTTAAGTTTTTCACAATTTTTCACCAATGAAATGCTATATATGAGTTTATATATGAGTTACCATATAGTAGTGGATAAGCGTTGTCAGCTACCTCGATGAGATTTATAGTAGTTAACCTGAAAAGAAAAGGTTTGGAATAAACTCACTGAGTCCTTCAAAAGCAGCTGTGGTGGGCAATGCGATGGCAGTTTATGTTTCTTTCTTTTAAAATTAACGAGTAAGAGGATTTGGGGAGAAGCTCTTCACGTGTTTTGCTTAATGAAGTGACTTTTTGTAATTCCACCTATATGTAGAAACCCGTGTTGAGTTTTATTTTACCTGTACAGCTGGGGTCAATGCAATTAATTTTTTTTTCATTCTTTTGCCTTGCAGGCCATTTCCCGCTTGTGTGAAGATAAATATAAGGACTTCAGGAAAGCAGCAAAGAAACGGTCAGTCAGTGCTGACAATCTGACTGTGGTTAGATGGTCCCCTGCCATTATCTCCTAACAGAGGAGACTGGAATATTCCTACGGACGTACTGTTTCATCCATCCATTTTTTTCGGGGTGGGCTGGGGCGGGGGGATAAAGAAAAAAGACTTTTGATTTTTTTATTTTTAAATCAGTCAAGCTGCCTTTACAGTGCCTCCCCATTGTGTAGCACACGAGTAAAATACCTAATGGAAGGAGAAATGGAGAAATGGATGTTTGGGAGAGAACACGGGCAACAATTTTTTTCTCCCTTTCGCTAACAGCTTTACCCTTTTTGTGAGAAAACAGCAGATCAGGTGCTTGGAAGAAGAAACAAACAAAAAAAAATGAAGTAGAGGCAGAAAAATATTTAAGAACTGTGCCATTTTCCGACATGCTGTACTCGTGAAGAGAAATGGCAGCATGAAAACAAAACATGTAGTCAGATGACTGTGCACTAGAGGAATGAAGTTGGGAGAGTTCCATCCTAAAGGTTTCTCTTAATATCTTTTTTATTTTTTGTTGGGTTTTGCGTTCCTTATTGCTGCTTCCCAGGATAAATTCTTCCCCTTGCACAGCAGCAAATACAAAGTCTGTATTTACAGTAGCACAAGCCCCTGAATAAATAGCGTTGGATTTTTTCACTGCACTTTTCTCTGTAAGCTGTCTTATTAGCATTATTCTTCATAATTATTATGCATATGTTATATTTCTTGTATGCCTTTTATTGTATTTCAAAAGAGAGAACTTGACCATAGTGCTGAACCAAAAGTGTGTACAGGGATCAGAAGATCTTCGTAATTTCATGATGTGTTTTATTTATAGTATACTTGGGTGCGTGTGCCTTCCTGAGTTCTTGGAATCATTTATTTTTCCTTAATATAAAGATATGGTTATTAAAGTATTCAGATGATGATAAGATTTGGGCCAAATCTCTGAAATTTGCAACAGATCTTGTGATCCTTTTTGCAGATTTTCATAGCATTAGGAAGTTAGCAGAACTCATTTTGAGGGAGATTTTTTTTTTTAGTATGGCCTGACTAGTTCATTCCTTCACCATTGTTGCAAGCAATATTCTCAATTTTTATATGTTTACTTTAAATCGAAGTGAGTCTGTTTGTATAAAATAAAAAATAATAAAAAAAAAAATGTTCCTGTGAGAAGGCCTGTAGACGAGCAGAATGGAAATCTTAACAAGGCATTTGTCACAAGTAGATTAAATTTTGAAGCTAAAATACAAACCTTCATGTTTATCAGTGTAGGTGCTTATAGAAATTAAAAGTAACCAAACTGTGAACATAATTTTGAACTCCAGTTATTAAGCTCTTCTGTTGCTGTTACTAGTTCTCTCTTACTGTAGCTGTTGCCCCCTTGGAACTGTAAGAACATTTTATAGAAAACAACTTGTCAGTAGAAGCATATTTGCTTTATAACATCCCAGGGTGATTTTTTTTTCTTCCCCATTTTTTTTTTTTTTTGCACGGTTTGGAAAGATCTAGCTGAAAACTCTCATTTCCCTGAAATCCTTTCTTTGCGACTATCACTGAAGTGAATGGCAACAGATGTCCCTGATTTATGCACTACTGTGGTAAACCAGAAAGAGTCCCCATTGGTTTTATTAAGCCCTATGGGCTTGTAGCAGCCGAGGGGCCCGAGACGCCCCCCCCACTTCCAGTGGGATGCTGATGGGGTGCCTCGGGGCACTGGCAGGATTGAAGCAGTAACACCAAACCCCTTTCTGTTAACTTTCTCCTGTGATTGGTGTAGTTGGAGACACGAAGGTTTTGTCCATAAATTCTCCTGATCTCCTTTGGGCCTTTAAAATAATCATCACTTCTTGTTGTGCCAATGCATCAGAACTGTGAGTATCCAAGTCCATTTTTCCCTTGAACATGGAATGTAAGGAAAGTGTTTATAATGATACAAATGCAAATTACAGCATTTGAAACCTCTTTACAGATAGTATCAAAAGGAACATTTTCAGACCATTTTAAATTCATCCTTTGTAAGCATAAATTTAGGCTTTAAAATATGTAAAATATTTTGATTTATCAACACTTTGCTAAACTATTTTCCATTTAACTTGATATCAGGAATATTGGGTTTATCCATTTCTGCGTGATAGAGATACGAACTTTGGATTATGTAAAGATCTCAATGCATCTACTATAATTTTTGTGAAGTTTATTAAACTACTTTAAAGATTGTATAGTCTATTTATTGTATGTATGTACATACAGTCTGATACTTTAAAAAGTGGATTCCGTAAAACCTGGCTCAGTCTTGTTTAGACTATTGAATATCGTTTTAGCCTTGTGCACTGGACTCTACCTCTGTATAGGAGAATTTTCCATATTCTTAATTAGTACTGATTCTGTGATTAACTTGGTTATGTTTCTTGCACTAAGAATTAAAAAAAAAAAATCTGCTGTAAGTGTGGATTTTTTCTTTGGTTTAAATTTTACCGTATGAATCCTCTACATTTAAATGGACGTTTCTTTCCCTCTAAGTTATAGAATAATTCTTTGCTTTTTCTTCTGGTTTGTTCCAGGGTTGCCAAAAAATACAGTACCTGTCAGTACATCTTAATGAGTGTCTTTTGTTTGCAAGGTATTCTATATCATGTAATTAAAAATGAAATATTATTTAGGAATATGTTGTGTTTAGTGTAGTTTTTAAACATTACTGTATGGAAAATGCCATTGCAAGGTTAGAGAATCAGCTGGAGTTGTGAGAAGGGAGGAGAACCAAACAGTGTTTTAATTAACAGCACAAATATATTGTGTTTTTCGTTTCAGAACCTGAAACTAAATTTGCTGTAAATGTTTTCTGGATTAAGGTTTTCAGTATCGCTTTGGTCACCGGCTCAGAAATGAAAAGGTGTAGGAAATGTAATAAACCTGTCCCTTCAAGCATCATTGTCTTAATGAAGTTATTTGTTGAGCCAGTGAGCCATTTGTTTGGTCATTTATGCTTTGGTAATTGGATAAATATTTGAAAAAGGCGTCTTCTAAGGATTTTTATTCATGCATCCCTCTGCAGCCCAGAGATGTTTCCCTAATTCCTCTTTCCATCTGCAGACTTGTTTATATTTCTTTTTTTGTTTATATTTATTTTTTTGTCAGTGATGTGTATCGTTCTGACAGACACTGCTCTTTGGGACTGAGAACACTGGAGTCACGTGGTGAAGTGCAAAAAGAAAAAAAAAGTCCAATCACCTTTTCCACTTTCCTCAAATCCTGTCAGTCTTTCAAATGGTACATGTTTTCTATTGCTAAAAACGTACAAAATCCTGTCCCATAGCAGGGTAATGGTATTCTTTTTAATAATTATATTTTTTTTATGTATCTTGTCTCTTTTTGTGTGTGTGTGTGTGTGAGAGAGAGAGAAAGAGATCAGCAGATAAGGCTTAGTTTCCCTTAGCTTCTTTAGCTTAGTTTATCATGTAAACTAAAAACATGGTGAAAGAGCTGTTTACATTTATGGAGTCTTAGTTTAGACTTTGTTTTTTGACACCTCTTTCTCTACTTCCTACCTTTCCTAATGCTAGAAATCTTAGATCTAACCTAAAGGTTAAAAGTAACAAAAACCTCATCAGAAGAGAGCGATGGTGTATTGGTGGCAGATGACAAAGTGACATCTGGTAGTGTTGGCTATATATAAAAATAGCAGTATGTGGGAGGGGATAGAGGAATTGAAAGGGCAGAACCAGAAAAACACCAAAGCCTTAACAGCTGAAGAAACAAATTATTTACCGTTGTCCTTTGTTGGTAATGAACATTGCATTTTGAAATGATGTGTGTAAACTCCTTAACTAAGGTGCTGCACATCCACTGCAGACTCATACTGCTCTCCGCTTCCATGTGGTCTTCATCAGGAATTCACTCAACCTCGCTTTTAGCATTTTTCTCACTTCTGTTTCGAACACATTTTTGTAATCAGAATATTTTTTATGTCATTTTACTTGAATTGAAAATTGCTGGAAATATCTGCAGTGGAGTGCAGAGTCTCTAACAGGTTCTGAGAAAACAACTCAAATATAAACACAAACATACCCACATGCATGTGACCTAGATGTCTGTAGAAACATTAGTATCAACACCCAGAGCGCAGTATCTTTCTGTTGTTTCTTTTTTCCTCTTCAGCTGAACCGCGTCATGAGGAAACCACAGAACAGAAGAGCTTTTATGCTGCATAGACTGAAGGTAATGACAGAAGATCTGTAGCAACCACTCTTACGAGAAAATGCTTTAAAGAAGGAAATGAGATTTAGAAGAAAAGCTGCTGGTCATAAAGAAACAAAAAGTGATAGCAGACACAGATTATGATGCTGAAAATGATTGTTTCATACTGTGTATGATCCTGCGTTTCTGGGTTCCTCTCCTGAGAATCCGTAAAAAGTAACTGGTGAATCCCAGAGCCACAGCTTAAAAATGACTGAACGCATCAGCCAAGAAAGACACACTTGGGTCTGCTTCTGTTTTCTGGGCTTGGTCATCAGGCTCTTCCCGGTAAAGAAAATAAGCAACAGGATGGCAGTTTGAAGAAAGGCAGGTGACAAAAGAGTACGCATAGACCATATTTCTTGTGTTCCTTCTAGAATGGTTGGTCTGATGCAACTTGATGTGAAAAAAAGAAGAAAGAGTTGTTCTTTCATGCCCTTTACACCATGTGTAGTGTGTTTCAGTATTCAGTTGTTGATGCCTTATCCCTGGAGGTGTTCAAGGCCAGGTTGGATGGGGTTTTGAGCAACCTGGTCTAATGGGAGGTGTCCCTGCTGCTGGCAGGGGGCTTTAAGGGCATTTCCAACCCAAACCGTTCGATGATTATTGGTGGAGGCTTTCAGCTGTCACTCGCTGGAGGTACTCTTTGGTGATGATACGCCAAGCCAGCTTCTTGGTGTGGTGACAGGTGACAACAGCGTACTTGTGTTTTCCATATGAGGTGTCCAGAATCTGTGTAAGTTTGTAAGGCTCACTCAAGGCACTGGACAGTATCTTTTGTGAAGATGTCAGTGGTCTCTACAGATTGAGAGCAGCAAATAAATGTAAAAAAATGTACTTGTGAAACTGGACAATTTCTGGCTTACTCAATGTACTTACATAATTTAGTTTCCCACTTGTTTGGTTTGGTTTTCCTTGCATCTCTGACACTTAGACTGGGGTGCTGTGGTAACTAATGCAGTAAAACTTCGAAGCTATAAAATCTTTGGAACTAACAGTGCTGCCCTCCTTGAATTCACTGGCAGTGAAGCACATACTCAAAAGGCAGATGACAAGTGCTTCATGTGACAAGTGCTTTACTGAACCAGGCGTTAGACACCTCCTTAACTGAGAGATTCTGCAGCACACTTAACTCTAGAGCTAATTCTTCTGTTATCTGTAGGTTTTCTTGCTTCACTGCCTCTGAGTTTTCATGCTCCTTTATTTTAGACATTAGTACAAATTATTCACCATGGAAACAGTATCTGGGGAACTGGTGGCTGTGATAGACTTTTTCTGCCTTGTATTTAAGCCACACCGATATCCTGTGACCACATACTTCTCGGGTGCATTTCAGGCAAACTAAGCATTCGTCTGTGGAAAAAGGAGAGGCCAAAAAGATGGGGATTGGTGTGCCAGAAGGGTTATGAAGCAGAATTAGGTGTGCATGGTTTTAAGATAAACCAGGAAATAGGAGACATTTATTTGTATCTTCTCTCATGTCAATGCCAAAAGGCATTAATGATACTTTAAGTAGCATGATGTTGTTAATTAAATTTCTCGGGCAAGGGTTTTGAGGGATAACTGTCTCCCTTCAACTGGACAGGGTATGCAGATGGTATTGCCATAAATCCCAGGAGGAGGAAGACCAGGTTGTACTGAGCAAAAGGGCACAGAAGCAACGTGCAAAATACACCAAATACTATTGAATATCGTGCCTTAGAATTTCAGGCATGATTTAGCAGTGTTTGGAGAATATTGGTGGTCACCTTACTTGTATAAGGTTCCTTTTGTGGCTTTCCTGTGTATGCAAAAGCTCAGCTCATATCAAGTACTAGAATAGCATCAATGTTTGGAGGTAGACTTTACAAAAAAAAAAAAAAAGAAGAAGAGCTCCTGTTAAGAACAAAAGCACTGGGGGGTAATTTGGGGGTGATGTGGGGCTTCATCAGTATGAACACTGTAAAGAGAGGGGTTAAAGAGAGTCTCCTGCTTATGACACCTCCCAGTACACCTCAATGACACTTTGGAAATCACAGGGTGGGAGGGTGAGAAGAATTTCAGACCATTACCTCTCCCAAGTCCATTGTTGTAGCTACAGTAATTCTGCATTAGCAGAGTTGTGAACAGAGATGGAAAATTACGTTCCAACTTCTTTATGTAGTCACTTTGCATAAGAGTGAAAATGACTTAAATGTCCAAATCACCACCAGCATTTGTAACCTTAAGTATTTCACTTGGGTATCGTTGCCAAAGAGTATGCATTTTACCATAGGAGTGAGGCTGCAGTCTGGATGTGTACTTTAGTGGTGCTTTATAGGGAACTGATTCTAAATCCATCCTCTAAGAAACTAGAGGACTGATTCTTGTGTCCTAGGAAAATAGTTGGGCATATCTTGAATACTGGTAAAGTGATCTTCCAAATCTGCTTGGATTTAGTGCTCTGGATCAATGATTTCTTCTGCTGGACAGAAATAACTACTACAAAGGGGCAGTAGTGACTTCATCTGGAGAAATGAGAGTGGCTGGTCGTGTCACCCTGACACTGAGACCAAGTGCTGGAGTGAACAAAGGACCCACCTCGTGCTTGTACTTCCCCGTTCAGCAATGAATCCACTGCTGAACCTCAGTGCAGACATCTGCGGTGTTTCTGATCTGTCAGAAATCTAGACCATGAAATCATTGCTTTTCTGTGGTGGTCTGTTGTTATGGTGCACCAGAAAGGGTTTGGGTGGTTTTTTTTGTCCTCTGTTCTGCTGGCATGTGGCAGAACAAAGTTGTTCTGCTCCGTAAAGCACACAGATGATAGCTAAACCCAGCAGTCGCTCGAGCTGTGTGCTTGGGTGTCTGATCCCAGCTGTGACACTTTCCTTTTAACTTTTCTAAATCAAATTTCTTTTAGAAAAAGAAAGCAGGGCAAGAAATCAGTTGTGAATTTTCTGTGAAATACATAGATTCTCAATCAGCATCTAATTTTCCCATGTCAGATTTTTTAAAAAATCATTTCAGACTTGAGCTGAATTTCCCTAGAGAATTCCATTATGTGAGTGTGTGTGTGAGCATTTATTTTTGTCCTAATTGCATTAGATAAGGAATTTTTTTATGACAGTTGCTGATAGAAAAAACAATTATTTTAAATGTCATTTGAACCTGTTGTTTTTCTCTCTGAGGAATGCATTTGTCTGGATTCCTGGACTTACTAAGAATAGGTAAATCCAGTGATACCAGGTTG